GTGCACTTTGACCACGGACTGTAAGCAAAGTTTATTGAGCTCCTGCAGCTCGAAAAGACTAGTCCCCAAAAATGCTTTTCTCAGTTTTTAAACACTAGCCCTAGCGCTAAACACAGATAGTGGTCAGAATGCCAGATCTCGTTATACTTTTGATCAAAGCTTCTTTGACCAACAGCACACTAGCTCAAATTTGAAATGGGCTGTCTGTGTTGTATTTTTGAAAACAGCATAATTCTCAATTATTGTGTCATATTTTAGATATTTTCCCATCAATCAATAGAAGAAATGTAAAATTATACAATATGTTCATTTTGTGTCATTTAATCAAATGCGTCAAGTTTTAGAGCCCCAAGTGAAAAGCTTAAAACTGACTCTGAGATAAACAATTTTCTTTATCCTGGACCGTCCCTGCATATCATTGCAAAATTTTGGAGAAATAGCACTACAAGTCAAATAAATGGGATTTTTGCCAATAGAATAGACTAATCATCTCACAGTAAAAATTTCAAGGAATTCTGTGATCAGCCAAAATTCGAGATGTCAGCTTTTACGTGGACAGCTTCTTAATATGTATGAAATCACAACCTGGTTTTAACAATCTTGTTTCCAGACTCAACTGAGAATTCCTGTTACCTTTATCCATCAGGCAAAGATATATGAGCATAGTAGCCTGTTTCTGCCACTATAATGGACTTTGAGAATGAGATTGTAGATAAAAGCCCCTCCCCAGAGAGAGCTTGCTTCCCAGGCTACATGCTTTACCGCAGGCTTATCAACTTTATCCATCTTATGTCAGTAGAGAAGTATTGAGTAGTATATAAGCCTCCTCACAAACTTTCTTTTGGCCATCACACTAGACTAGTATGTCAGGAGGCTGTATTAAGCTGGTTAAGTGGCCCTGTCTTCTGGATTTCATCTTTTCAGGATAAAAAGAAAGAGTAATATCAGGAGATGAGTTCAAAGGGAAGATTACTTTCAAGGAAAAAGATTCTATCAATAACAATTCAAAGGCAGCAGACTTCGATATGAATTACTTCACCCTGATAGAGTCAAGAAAAGAAGGTACGATTATGTCAGTAATGAAGTTGTAAAAAATCACATTATCCATTTTGACAACTATTGTCTCCTCAGTATGAGAACTAACTGTTTGTATGAAAACAATGACAATTTTTAATTTTTAAATGTAATAACAACCTAGAAACAATCCTTCTCATCCAAGTGTCTTGGAAAGATAAGCACTAGATAGACAATGAAAAATGAGAGGGTTTTTTTACTTTTTTTTTTTTTTTCAGACGGAGCAGGACTCATCAACCTGTGAAGTTTCTGGACAGGAACTAACATCCTGCCCACAATGGATGTCATGTTATTCAACTTTGGCACCAACACTGATTTTTCAGTGGCAGAAACATGTTTCCTGAGTCTTACTACTCTAGCAAAGTATCAGTGTTTTGAAGAATCTATGAAATACTGTGATATTGCTATTAAATATGCTGCCCTAGGGTTAAGCTTCACATAAAGAGGAGCTTTTCCATATTTGACTTTCTATCACAGCTACATGACTGATGTTGACCACTAACTTATAGTACAAATTGGTATAACATTTTATGAATGTTATTGACAGACAATTCTTTATTGTCATGGAAATGTTAAGAGAAGTGAAACACACATAGTCTTATTTTTATAATAAGTATTGCATTAGCTGTCACAGAATGCCAAAGTCTGGAAGATCCAAGGCTGTCATAACAAAAAACCAATAATATTGTAGTAAAACTTCAGGGGCATCCAGCTAGCAGGAAAAATATTGGCTACAAAGAAAACAAAAATAAACACTTCCAAACATTCATTTTAGTTTCTGTTAACATGATATCTGTTCTGCATTCCCAGAATAAACACAAGTGAAGTTCTGTTTCCATACTAGGTCTTGAAAAATCCCCAAACTAGGAAAAAAGAAACCCTAAGACTTGCACATGAAAGGACATGATGGGTGTAGCCAGGGGTTCAAATTTACCACTTCATTTGGGGAGTTATAGAAAAACATTATTTAAAGCACATGTCACCTACTGAACCTAAAATATTTAGGAGAACAAAAAATAAAGATATCTAAACAGCAAGAGATCTGTACCCAGGGCAAATATTTTCCAAATCTCCCAGTAAGTATATCAGCTCATCTTTCAATGTTCCCACCAAGCAAGAAACCCCTTGTGGAACACATATTTGGCAGAATGCTTTAATTGGGTGCCCCTGGAACTTGTTGGAAATTTTTACACCCTTTGTTTCCTGACTTTCTTTTAACAGTCAATAATCAACAAGTGTTAGCCAGATTGTTGGGTGAGCCTTTGATTTTTGGCGGGGATAGAACCCAATACGAAATCACTTGCGAAAACACAAAAAAATACTCTGAAGGACTACCCACAGCGCAGTCAGCTGCTGTTCTGAAGACGGATGTAGCGCGGGCTCATTTTTACCGTCACCAACTCCGGGGCCAGGAATTGGAACTGCTGAAGGGAACGGCTTTACCGGGCTTTTAGCTTTTCACTCATATGAAGACTCCCTCTTCCCTTTTTTTTTTCTTTATGTTTTTTATTCCATTTTTTTTTTCAGGTAGCTTCACTCACTCTTAAATTAACAATAACTATTTCGCACAGCGTTACACGTTTATCTTCGCCTAGATGCTCCAACATACTGAAGACGGAAGATTTCAATTACATCTAAAATTTGATCTAGAGTGGTGCTAAATTTATGATTTTATAAGTTAGGTGCGGTCACATTTTATGCCCCATTTAAACTTTGAGAACCATATTTCATTAGGCAGCTCTCCTGTGGTTAAGACTGCCTGATTAGAATGGGACAAAACAGACACTTTTCGAAAGCTACTGTTACGATCTTTCATTTTGACGAATTTCTCTGGAGAGCCTCGTTTCTTTTCAGAAGGGGTCTGCCTTAGTTTCCCCTCTGCAGCTTGGCGTGGTCAAGAGACCTCTTGTGGAAGTGTTCTCGTCCTTCAAAAATTCTCGCTCTCTTTTTTTTCTCTCGTACTCTTCACAAGGCTTTGTTCAGCATTAATGCAGATTAGCAAACACAATATTACGGTGAATTGAGAACGCGTAAGCGCTCGGAATGGTCACAATCAGACTTCATGATGTTTTTTTGGCTCTCGTCAGCGGCTAGTGATAAAACCCGAATAGTGACCGAATAGTGCAAATAGTCGCGAATAGTGACGAATAGTGACGAATAGTGACGAATAGTGACGAATAGTGACGAATAGTGACGAATAGTGACGAATAGTGGCGAATAGTAAAAATAAATGAATTAATAATGAAATAAAAATATTTATTGCCCTATTTCATAGATTTATTGGATTTAAATGTGTGTATATAACGATTATTTGACAAAAAAGACACAGGATAACATATGAATTGTGTTTCAATCATGTATATCATTAAAATAGAGGTACTACTCATCTGTTTCGCAAACAAAGGAGTTAATCACCGACGCCGGAAATCGCGATCAGGTATTCCTCGCGACTCCCCTAGGTTTGTTTTCCAATTTGCCTGGGCCGCTGCCAATCACTTCTTGCGTAAAACCAACGAAACCTGCGAAGTGGAACTATGGTGGCTACTGTTGCTTGCCGATATTTACCGTCTGCAAAACGTAGAAGTCAGTTATTGTGACCGATTCTGCCCGATAAATTTTATTGTCTGGAGCTTGGATATGTCAGGAGGGTTTCATCAGACAGCTGGATTACACCCCATGTTGTGAAACCATCACGCTTTTTCTTCGCTTCTTTTGTCACATACAAAAAGGGAAACGTGAGGCAACTGAAAGATGATTCATGCTAACCCGTGAGTATCATTTGGCACAGGCACGAGTCGACTCAACAGGCACACGCATGACTTAACAGTGGAGGATTGAAAACAGGAATTGGCGATATTTTCAATAACTATTATAGTCCCGGGTTTAGGTGTCAGTTCCACATTCGCATGACAAAAAATTAAAGTACTGATGGTCTGCCTTCCCCCTTGATAAAATGGTCCAAAAAATTGTCCAAGGGTCCAATGGTCCAGTCTACATGTTACTCTAACCTTTTTTCGTCAAATAATCGTTATATACACACATTTGAATCCAATAAATCTTGGAAATAGGGCAATAAATATTTTTGTTTCATTATTAATTCATTTACTTTTACTATTCGCTACTATTCGCTCTATTCGGTCACTATTCGGTCACTATTCGGTCACTATTCGCGACTATTCGCACCATTCGGCCACTGTTTGTCACTATTCGCCTCTATTCGCGACTATTCGCGACTATTCGGGACTATTCATCACTATTCGTCACTATTCGTCACTATTCGCGACTATTCGCACTATTCGGTCACTATTCGGGTTTTATCATTGGCGAATGTCCGTTCCCCATGTCGACCCTTAACTTGATATTAATGAAACCGATGATTGTTTGAAATTGACATCAGTCCGTGATAATCGATGTTGATTACTCGACAATTTTTATTTTCAGCCCTGTCCTTGGTGATTGCACGTGCTGTTGAGAATATTTGCTAATTTGCTTCTTCGGCGTACATGGCTAACTCACTCTTTTACCTTTAATCCAGTTAAAAAACTGCTTTTGACTACGCTAACATTATAAAACATCTTTGAAAAATATGTCATGAAGTCACTGCTTTGAATGACAATCAGTCTCAACAATGCACTAATTTTTCAGCCTTGAGGTTTTTGGTTTGATATTTTTCGACCATCGTTAATTTGTTTATTATTTTTGTCGGCAATCTAGAACTATGTCTTATGTTCTTATAACCCCTGTAACAACTCACAATTCAGAGATCGATTAAGAAAACCAAAAGAAACAAAACATGGTCTAAGCCAGATGGAAAAAGTTGCCACACGTTTAAGCACGGAGCAACGGAAGTATAAAATAACATCAGGATTGAAAACATTCAAAAATATTTTATCGGTAATAAATAGCCACAAAGCTATCCTCGCTCGCAAGGACTAGCCACGTGCAAGTCAAGAGACCAAAGATCATAGTGAACATTTCGGAAGCCAACTTGGATATCCTTTGATATCTTGAAAAGTTTATCTCCGAAACAAGAGTAGAGCCAGAAGTATGAGCCGTTTTCAGCTTACGCTGACTATTCTGCTGTTAATAGCTGCCCATGGTAAGAGCGGTGCATACTTTTAAAATTATTCAGATTTAATATCAATCGTATATCCGCAGTTCGGCCAAATACTACACTGTACAGACAATCAAACATATCTAACTGCGAAACTTACGGTTAATCTTTTTCCTATATATATCCACATTTAACTTTTCCACTAATTCCTCTCTTATTATTACTACACCCTATGTACCCGAATCAACCTCTATTGATGAATTTGCGCTGTCGCGAGCTATCTACGCAAACTATATCTCTGACATTGATATCACGCTAAATTTTCATGCATTTGACAAGCTGAAAAAAAATTTAGTCATTTAGCCTAAATATTTTCAGTTTTTCAATCATTACTCAAAGGATCCCTGTGTATTCTCTAAACTTAGGAAGGTCAAGATCCACAGAAAGGACATAGATCCACTTATGTTTTAAGTGTGATTAATATCGAAGGTCGGCATTTAGCAGAGAATCGTTCTAGCCAGGAGCCCATTAATAGGCTCATGTTCTGATACCTCCTTGTCGGTCGGTCGGTCAGTCATTGATAAATTTATCGATAAATCTTCGAACAAATTGACACCATGCCATTCCTATACCTTCAGGTTAATTTATACCAGTCGGAGCCGTCAATAAATACCTCAGCTAAATAAAGATTATAAAAGAGATTTATGCTGTATTGCTTCTTAGCAAGAAGAAAATAAGAGGACAGAATTAGACAATCAGGGCGTTGGCCGGGTTTTGTCGATTTCACCGTAGCTGTTTTTAGCACATAGTAAAAACCGAAGTCTGCCTCCCCGGATGACATATTTTTCCATATTTTCCAAAACCATTTTCGAAAAATCCAAAAACAAGTCATTATCTTCGCTGTTTGTCAAAACATCAACTACTCCCAAGGGACCAAGGTTATTTAGAGGAGGGCGTAGGTTTTTCCTGTTTCCTAAAGCGAAATGGAAGTGCATCTGGGCCCACGTCACTTCTTTTAATAGTCGTAGCGTTGGTTTCAAAGATTGTTGATATTTTAGCTACCGTATTTATTCGCCTATAAGCCGAGCGATTTTTCCATGAGAACAGTGCATCTGCCGAGTATTTTCGCCAAAAAAAATGGGTGCTTAACAAGATTCGAAATTTGACAACATGAAAAACTGGCCAATCAGTCATTCCCACGGTTTGTGTAAACATTGCAACACGATCTGACAGATATCAGCTGATCGTAATCTCTAGCGATCTAGAATGATCTATGTTTATTCATAACCTACTTTTTGGTTGTATGTTTCCCGAGAGGGAAGCTCCTTTTGTTTTCGGTTTATGTTAATTCATCTCAGTTAACGACACGCGTGGAGTACTTTGCAATTATTAGGTTTCGGCTTATAGCCGAATGTTTTGTGTTTATTTTTTATTTCAATGCAACAGCTGCTGACATGAAAAAGTTTAGGGTCTCGGCTTATAGCCGAGATCGGCTTATAGGCGAATAAATACGGTAACTACAAAGCTAATCAAGGAAACTGGATAATTTTTTTCTCATGTTTCCTAGCTGCTGCTTTGAAATGTTTCACCTGCAAAGGTACTGATAAATCATGTGGCAAGAGAAAGTTGGAGGGCAATAAGACCTTCTATTTGCAAACCTGTTTGGCAGGGTTTGACAGGTGTATGAGAACTTGGACAAAAGACAAAGATGGCGTAACTGAGGTGTTTAGCTCATGTGCAAAACAATCTCTCTGCGAACAGGCGAAAGAACGCTGTGAGGATAACGACCAGAAATGTGCGGTTGGTTGCTGCTCTAACGACGCATGCAATGCAAGCTCCACTATCGTCATCAACATTATTTTGTTCATCACGTGCTTTGGTACTGGCCTGACTCTACTTACGTGATGCGCCAAAGACTAGAGCGATGCTCGTCCTTTATTTTTCGTATTGATTTAATTTTTCTGTTACTTTTGACAGGTGGCCCAAGCGTGCTATATGTGATTTCGAGATTTAAAGGCCATAAAAAGGAATATCTAATATGCTAAATAGATGAGTATTGACTGGAATAGTGCATGCCAAAAATTTCCTCGGTATGAGCTCCGCTCTCATGACTTGCGGTTGCCTCCACTCGATGGAAAACGCTGTCGGAGATTATTCAAAGTTAATTAATTTCCGGTTGAGTTTTTGCTATAAGGTGACAACAGGCAGAGGTGACAGATAATTTGGACATTTGGGGATGGACTGTGTGCGTTTGTCTCACGATAGAGTCACTTTTGATGTTGATCGCGACGATTGCCAGTCTTCATCAGGCGATGAGGTCGATTGTTGACGTGTCGCTATTTGTAGCACGTTGGTACGCTGCTATTTGTGCATTTCGATCCTCATTAACACCAGTAGCAGCGTACTAACGTGCTACAAACAGCGACACGTAAACAATCGACCTCATCGCCTGTTGAAGACTAGCAGTATTGCAGTCGAAACGTTGCGATCAACATCAAAAGTGGCACTATCGTGAGACAAACGAACAAAGTTAATCTCTTATCTTACACCACGATGAACAATAAACACATATTTTGTTACACAATTTGGACATTGAGGACAATATGATCATGTTATATAATTGAGGGAGACCAGAGGGTGAGAGGAGTACAGTGTGTGTGTGTGTGTGAGAGAGAGAGAGAGAGAGAGAGAGAGAGAGAGAGAGAGAGGGGGATCAAGTTGATTAAAATAAAAGGTGAAGTTTCGGAACACAGCAGACTCGTTAGTCTCATTTCCGACAACGCCATTGAAATCTTTGTAGTCAGCTTTGGTCTTTTCTAATTGAGAGAAAAGAGGGATCGCAAAATTTAATTAGCGTTTGTTCGCGAAATGAAATGAAATACTTGGTAAATTTCTCTAAGAATAAATGTTCGTCGCTACATGTCCACAACATATAGTGAAATCAACTTCTTTTCTTCTTTAGACGGCCTGCGGCCAAAAGTAATTTCATTGAAAAAACGACGCTTAAACGGCCCATGAGGGCAAAAAAAATACCACAAATGCGTCGATGAACATTTCATTTATATTTATTGAGATCTTCGGACCGAGATATTATTTGGATATGCAATTTTCAAAGCTTTATTCCTAACCTTCATAGATTTTGTTCGTCTCATGTCAACAATTATTAACCAGGCACATAGTGTGGTCTGCCTATGATCAGAACATTCGGAGTTGGAAATTTGATAATTACAAATATTTGGTATGTATCATGTCATTAACAAAAAATTGCCACAAATCCTGGTCAGAGCCAAACTTTGAAGGTAGAAGATTTAAAATCGCGGTGAGGACCGTCAACACTTATCTCGAAACGTAACTTGCTTGCTCCTGGTCTGTTTCGTGTTGTTCTGTGTTACTAGAAACTCAAAACGCCATGTTGGAGGCAGTTTCCGTGAGCAGTAAAATACAATTGCATATTTTTTTTAATGTTTTAATTAAAATTAGGCAAATAACCAAATAAGGCAAGCTGTCAAACTAATCGTAACATGTCGTAACAAAGTCCAACTTGAGCTCGAACACATCCCACTCTCCAAGAATATAAACCAGGAAAACACATTTTAAGCGGCTAAAAGAGGCAAAAAAACTACACTTAATTTACATTTCTTTTCTCTGTATTAAATACTTTAGAGCAAGGTAAGTTTAAAGTTGTATTGATCAACTCCTCACTGGTGACTGTAATGCATCTACATATATTTTTATCGTTCGTCTCAGGCAAAACTGCGCCAGGCAGCAAACGTGTGACTCCGAAACAGACAGGGAGACAGCCTCAAAAATGAGTCGTTTACTGCTTACATTGGCTGTTCTTGTGTCAGTAGCTGCCCCAGGTGAGTGATACACAATTCCTTATATTATTTCAGCGGTAGCAACGAAAACATTTCCGAAATATAGTGAAAACCAATGAACCTGATAAACAGAGCGAAATGACCGAACTTGTAAACGTGATGTGGCTGTTGGGAGCGGGATAATCCAGCAATGAGTAAAAAACCGACACAATTTAAGTCTTCACTTCTCAGTTAATGTTCGAATCAAAGGTTACGGAATTCTGTTCATTCTTTATACTCTATTAATTCATTTAAATAAGAGGCATCTTGTCGAAGTAATATTGCGTCTTCGACCACGCCTTCTCAAAGAATCATGTCAACATCAGGCTTGCACTTTGAGCTGCCAGCCAATGATACTGCAGAACCCCTGACGTTCATAACAAAACAAAGAGGCGCCCCGCGGGAAGGCAATAGTTTTCTAGAAACTTTTATCTCAATTAACCCTTGAACTCCCATGAGTGACCAGGACAGAATTTCTCATTACAATATCAACACAATATCAAGCAGTTGATGAGAATGTAGAAAAGTGTAAGTTTGAGGATTTTTTTAGTTGATCCAGTACCAAATCTCAGAACTAGCATCACAGGAATTATATGGCAGACAGTAACGAGAATTACGAATGCGATCTTGAGCGTTGAAGGGTTAGGGATACAAGATACTTTCAGGTACAACATTTTTCAAAAGCTATATTTAGCAGAATCTTAAATATCGGAGTGAAATCTATCGAAATTTATCCGATTAGTAGACAAAACATAATTTCTGGCGAGAATTTAGGAGTAAATCAAATTCCGATCAAAGTTTACAAATCGTGTATGGAATTTTTGGCAGCGCTTTTCTCTGCTTTAATTTTCGATCTAATTTGCCAAACATCATCGATTTTGGGGCTCACTGAATTAAACCGATTCCCTTGAAAATTGGCACAGAATAAGATTACTATAATTGAAGGAAAAAATCTGTAAGGCCCAATTTTTGACTTTCAAAATATTTTTTTTTGAGCTGTGATTAAGAGTGCAAAGGTCAGAAAAAAAAAATAACATGCTCGAACTTGAAAAGGTCATAATTTTGAAAGAAGACATCAATCAACCTTTACCTACTTGGCCTTTTTTTCACAATTGAGTGACAATCTCTCTTTGAGGTAATTTGCATATTTCCACACTTCCAGACTACCAAGTTGAGATAAATGTGGGTTAGGTAAACCCTCATTTGCATAATTCCAGATACTTCCACACTTCCACACTTTCACACCATTTCCAAGGGCGCTCGGCGGCGCGCTAATTATATAAATATAATTTTTTCCCTAAGCTTTCATATTTTTTTTTACGGAAAGGAAAAGGAAGAACCGCACGTAATCTATAGCAGCACATACTTCACCGTGACCAGTGACTCGGTCACGTAATTCAGTTGTGTACTTCTCCCGTCTAAATAAGGCGGCGATTACGTGATCTTTTGCTTTGAATTCTAGCCTTGGTCTTCCAGGCATCTTCACAGATGTTAGCGCGCCGCCGGGAGCTTTTGGAAAGAGGCCCTAGCATTAATTTTTCTTACTGATTTATCTTCGACTTGCGCGGCGGACTTCGCCAAAACAGAGGGATTGCTCGATCGACTAGTTTAGTGCTGTTATCGCTAGTTACGCTAAATAAAATCCTGTAGTTTGGTTCTGAAATGTCTATGCCGGTTTGAATAGCTTAAGCTCTCTAAACTCAAATATAAAAGAACAGAAACCAATTTTTTAAAAAAGAGTTTCATTTTAAAAAAAACGTTGACCGATTGCTAATCAGTATAATATTCCATACGTTTTTTTTCACCTCTTCCATTACAACATAGAATCATTTCCTAGATTTTAGCCATTCAAAATGGTTAGAGTATAAATCTGTGTGTTCTGGAAGCTCTGTCGTAGTATCTCCTCTTTTTTTTAAATGGTTAAAATGTAAAATTCATGAAGCTACCAATATAGTGCGGTCAGAGTTTGCTCAACAGACTAATTTGCATAATTCTGATGTCACGCTAGCAAAATCACCAAAAGTTTAAAGTCACTACGACGAAGGAAATAATAAGTGCAAGATGTTTTTGTATTTCTATGCTTTCGAAAGTCATGGTCTGGTCTGGACTGGAGAAATATCACTCAGGAAAGAAAGAGTACTTTTGACCAATTTTAGAAATCTGTCTTACCCGGTGTTTTTAAATAAATTATGACGAACCTCTGAAACACAGACACATATCAAAATTGAAATGGTTTCCAAACCCCTCAGATAGGCAAAGTTTGAGGCAAAACTTTTTTCCGATGCGGAATGCCCTGGACCGCCCAAACACGGATCCCCACTTAATATGCTCTGATTGACTTTCCAAAGACTGTTTGCCGAAACGATAAAACCCAAGCGCCTATAAATCGAAGGAAGATAGACGAGTAGTTTTCTCTTTCTGCTCAGTTATTATCTCTGTATCTTGGAAAAATAGAAAAAACAACAGGCTGGTAAACTATCGAATTTTGTAGGTTATAAGCTTCAAAATGATATATAGTTTCATAGGGATTGATTCAAAGCTGTCGTACGTCAGGTGTGGGTCAAACTCAGGGGAAACATTTTATTCACCTATCTTGGGTCGGGTAATTTATGAATACTTGTCACTCTTGGCACAATGTTAACTCTTTTAATAAGAACATTCATAAGTTTTACACTTTTTGGGTCCTGGTTTTTCTTTCGTTTTTACCCAAGGTAGAGTAAAACGTTCCTTGAAGGTTTGAAGAAGTAGTAGGATGAGGGGAAGATGGTTGCTTTCCCGTCGCTTAACTCCGCCCAAAAGGATAGGAGTTTATTACCCCCGACCTAAAATCCTGGCCCCACTTAGGACAAAATCTGCTCATTTTCTAGCCCTGTTCAAGACTCGAGATCCAAAGAGCCGTACTTTATTGTGCAATTGCAATACGTGTTTCGTTAGGCCCATCAAGGAAATTCCCCACCCACCTCCCAGGATGTACATTCATTCAATTCACTTTAGTGGACATTTTGCTTTGACATGACATTCTCAAACGCAAAAATAAATGCTTAAAGTTATTATGAGAACTGCTCTAAAGAGTAGACACAAACAGTGCAATCTGTATGAGGACAGCAATGAAACTCCCGCCACTGTACACATGATAAAGAGTTAATAGCGAATTTGTAGTAGGTCTTTAAACCCCATTGAATACAGTGTAAGTAAGATGCTGTTTGTACACATTTTTATCATCATTTTCTGCTTTTTAATTCGTCAGCTTTTGCTTTAAAATGCTATGTCTGCGCGGGTACTGAAAACACGTGTAAGAAGAGCAAGTTGGAAGAAAGCAAAGGCATCTTTTTACATACGTGTATTCTTGGCGATAAATGCATCAGATCTTGGTCTAAAAGCAAAGATGACGATGCTGTGGTTGCAAGTGGATGTGCGTACCAATCGGTCTGTGACGCCCAAAAGTCCGCTTGTGATAAATTGAAAGATACTCTGAAGGACTACCATTGCGCGGTTGGCTGCTGTTCTAAAGACGAATGTAACGCAAGCTCATATTTCACTTCCAACATCATCCTGTTGGCCGTTTGCTTTGTCCTGGGCTTAGCACTGCTGAAGTAAGCCGTGAAAGGCTGTACAAGTCTACTTTTCATTTCCGTTGGCGTGGTCACCGAAACTCAGTTTCAGAACAGTTGAGGCAGCGGAATCTCCCGTGCACGTTTAGTTTCTGGCAATTGTTACTACTTTTAATCATTTTGTTGGTTTTCGCGTTTTGTTTCTCCATTAAAACTTTCAAAATCTATTTTTCTGTGGCTTGACTT